AATAACTAGCTGTGCTGGCGACTTCGTCCGCGTGGAATAGTGACGTGGGGCAGAATTTTTAATTATTCAGGCTGTTTATTAATTTATATAAGGGCGCATTTAGGGCAGCTAACCTATGTTGTAAGTGCAACTCTGCCGCTACACTCCCACTCCGACGTCTACTCTCACTGCCGTTCCTATTCCCAAAAAGCCAAAGAAGAAAGTTTCATTGTTCTAGCTTCAAAAACCACGAATTTACAAACTTTTATTCCCTTTTTCAACCCTCATCAACGGTTTTTTGGTATTTAAAAGTAGTATATGTCCTTCCTCAGGCTCTAGAATATCTGTGTACCAAATTTCATTTAAATCAGTTCAGCAGTTTCGGGCTAAAGCCGCAATGACAGACAGACAGACAGAGTTACTTTCGCATATATTAGTATAGATTTATTTAAATAAAAATGTATAAATGGTATGGATAACACGGTTTGATTTTGTTCGGCATTTCTATCACTTTGTTAAATGTAAAAAAGTAGTTTTAGTAATGTAATTACAATAGTTAGACTAATAAGTCTCGCGATGTTTTTTGTAGATATTGACATATTCTATTGTAGTGTAGCCATTAAATATTAGTATATACTTAGTACATATATGATACATCAAGTGTATTCTAGTCTAAGTTATTGTTAAGTAGTTAGTCTTAATTAAAACCTTATAGTGACAACATGTCTTTTATTGGTATACCGGGAACAAACCAACACATGGCGACCTGCCCAAACGCCCGGTTAGTATTCGTGGTCCCGTCGGGACACAATACGAAACAGTCACTCAAAAAAAAAAACATGTTGACCCTGCCATGGGCTTTTGCTTCCGCGCGGATATAGTCGTGACGTAAGATGGGAAAACAGTGCTCCAAGTGTATTTGCGAGAATAAAGAAATTCTTGTTTCGCACCACGGTGGAGATTTTAAGTTAAATGCGGACGCCTCTACGCATTTTTTACAAATAATATCTTAGTTTATTGGGATATGCGGCGCAATAAGCTTGTATTTCGCATAGAGACAATATAAGAACTGTCACCGTGATTTGATCAACCAGAATATCGTGCCGGCTTCATGAGGAGCATCCGGGAGCGAATGTCCAGACGAGGTGGCGGCGACGGAAATGCAGCCCAAGATCCAGCCCAAATGGTTTAAAATGTGTTTAGTGAATTTAAAATAAAAAGAAAAACAGTGTAAGTGAGTGAGTCAACAATGTAAGTGGAGAAAAGATCTGATTATGGACTTAAAGATTTTAGCTATATGCACCCGTTTGGATTTCTATATTTCTTGTAAAAATATTAAAATTGACGTACAACAACCTGTTTTTAAACAAAGTTATTAAGAAATGTGAAACAACGGAATTATTCATTAAATATAATATAGCAAATATTGTAAATAACCTCAAAGCATTTAATAATACCTAGGCTAAGCTAATTTAGGTCAATCATTGTAAATAAAAAAAATACTTATAAGTTAGTTTTAAGTAAATATTGTTATCTTAATATAAAACCTTGTTCGCGATTCTGTACACCAATAAATACACACAAACAGACACACCCATCCCGAGAATTCTAGCGTAAACCATAAGCGCCGTTTAAAAATTCTTCGGGTTCTCTCTCCTCCACGGCCCCGGAGGTGGTGGGACAGGGATCCCCACCGCTTCGTCCTCAGCCACTCTGGTTCGCAAATAATGATGATAACAAAACGAGGAAAGTAAACCTTTTGGTAAAAAAAAATATATTAGGGCAATTCGTGAAAGGATACGTGGCGAAGGTCGAATACCTATCTGTTACAATGTTATTTTTATAAAATACTTATATAAAATATTATTTATAATAAATACGAGATTTGTCCCTCTTATTTTTAAAACATTGACTCAACAATTTTTAAAACCTCTAAACAGCACGAAACCTTATCGGGCTAAGTTTTAAGACTAACAATAGTTGCCAAGTTTGACAGTAAGCCTACGTATTTTTCATTGAATGAATCGTATTGATAAACGATAAATTATTATGGATCCAGCCCCGCGTAGTGTCAAATCAGTAAAAAGCCGCCTGGACACAATAAAACAAAGGGAAGATATTCAACACGGTGTACCTAAAGTACAATCACACTTTGGGATATCGTCAGATAAATTAGATAAAATCACTCGTCGAGTTATTGCACCATATGCGCAAATAGAGCGAAAAGAACCAAAGGAAGAGGTGCCAGAGGGACCGTACTTGGATATAAATCGGTTTAATGTATTTCTGGAGGACAAGGTCGACCTTGATTCGTTACTTTATGAAACTGCGAACGTTTTGAAGGCAGTTACCAGTAGTTCAGGTTTCTTTCTTACGTACTCGAGGTCGTCCAGCTTCATTCATTTGCATACATAGAATGTTGTCAGAGGAATATATTATGCTTTCAGGAGTGTTTGTATATACTGTTGAGCCAATAAAGAACGAGCTCGTCTTAATGGCTCTAAATGCGAAGAATAATACACGTCACGAAGTTAATATACCAATTGGTGAGAGGTTTTAATTATCTAAAATAATGATGAATTCCCTTATTATATATCAATTGGTCATCGACGGCGCCTTAACGGGTGATAAAATACATTATTAACTCCTTCGTTCTCTCTAGAGGCGGGTAAAATGGCCTCAGCTCACGTCGCATTCACCAAAGAGTACCTGTTAATAGAAGACGTACAGCGCGATCGCCGCTTTGCCGAGGGCCTGAAATGGACTGATGCGAGAGTGGCTCTCTGTATGCCCGTCTTAAAACCGGACGGAGATTGCTATGCTGTTCTTGAACTCTATAGAACGCATAGGGAACCGTATGACCGCGTATATATCACGTTTCTCGTTTTGTAAAGCCGGAATAGACTGCCGGCCGAAGGTTTTTACGTTTTATCTGCTTTGTTTTTAAAAAGCTAGTGTTTCCTATGAGCGCGTGCCTCGCGTGCGTTTCAAGAGGACGCAATTATTGGTTTCCTATGAAAGACCGCACACGGCGATCTTTGTTAGTCGGTCTTTTCACGTAGGCCGGCTGCCTCTCAAACTTTACCATTATATTACCAGAGCGGGGTGTACACAGTGTTGAGCGTGGCCTGTTGGGCGGGAGCGGCCGTACACCAAGCTCAAGCGCGCATGACTCTTCAAAGGACTGCGCATCTCAACGTCGAATTGAGAGACTTGCTACACAACTATTTCTGCGACTTGGCGTCGATCGACACTATGCTCACAGATATGCTTGTGCGTCTTTCTTTTACTGTTTACTAGCTTTACGTTTTGCATCCTTAATTTACGAAATGCGCTCTTCAGGCGGTAATAAAGTCCTTCATAGGAGCGATGCGAAGCAGCTTTTTTATCATCGACGAGGACCATATAGGAGAACACTTGCAAGCTGACATGTGGGACGACGGTTGGGGCTCTGAACGGACCAACATACCGCGGAAGAAGATAAAGGTTAAGTAGGTATTCCAACATATTAAAACTGTGTCTTTGTTGACAGTATTTAAATAGCGAGCGTGGAGTACGCTGTAAAATGCCACAACCCATATTATAACTAATTATTTCACTTTTTATTTCTGGGAACGGGATCCGGTCGAAATTTCAATATTGTACGAGTTCAGAATCCTCGCACGTCACCGACTAACTCTCTATAGAGCTGAGAACTTTGCTATTTACAGCCTGAGTCAAGAGAAAACTCCTGCTGGCCTAGTAGCTCGTACGGGTGAAATGTTGAACCTGCGAGACGCATATCGCGACCCGCGATTTTCTAAGGAGATAGACCCCACTACTGGGACTGTAGTCAGAACGAGCCTGGTCGCACCGATTATGGATAAAAACGGGGTCCACGGTTTGTTTTCGTGATCATCCCTTTTTGAGATGTGTTTCCTAAAGTTTTTGTAATTAGCATTAAACTGAAGTCAGCAGAACACGGCTTACTTACATTTGCAATAGCTGAGTAATTTATGAATGCCTTTAGTCAAATAAAATTGATGTACCTATTAGTGTGCGTAGCTGATTGCGTCTTTGAACGTAAATTAAATGTAATAATTTATTATAAGCAATTGCTTACGATTAACATAGCATATGCAGTAGATTAAGAGCATTCCCATCGCATATATTGTAGACAAACGGGATCGCGTCGGTATAATTACCTAATGGTGATCATGACGATCGGAATAGAAATACTATACCACATGGATAACGGCATTTTTCTTTAAACACAGGTGTAGTGCAACTCACTAATAAGGCGAACGCCCACCCTTTTAACAAAGACGACGAATCAATATTTGGCGTCTTCGTGAAGTATTGCTCGCTCATCGTGCACTTCTATAACATGCAGAGGAGAAAGATTTTCCACGTATTCTTTAACACTATATCCTTAAATTATTATGTTTATATGAGAGATGTACTCTAATTCATTAACATTAACTTATTCAATTATTTAAATTCGCATTACATGGATATATATATATATATATCTTCTATTGTACTTTTTAGGAAAATCTTAATGAAGTCTATTCCAAACTAATGCATTTGCATCTCAATCCGTGTAGACACGATCTGGAAGAGCTAATGGAAACGAATGGAGTAGTATTACCGGCACCTAATTTCAAAAGGCAAGCGATACTTTTTTAATGACACGACGATGACTCGTTTATTGGGCCTATGCCTAAACGACAAACGTTCAATATTTTTCATTTTTTATAATACTCAGAGATCGCAATAGTAATGGAGAGGTAAATTAAAGCAATTTTTAGTTTCGACTACCACATCAGCGAGGGAAGCAAAGAAGACATGCCGGGCCTCGTCTGCTACATGTTCGTGGAAACATTTGCAGATCGGAACTTCGAAAGACAGATTCTGGCGGATTTCGTTCTCACAGTTCTCATGAGTTACCGGAATAATTCCTATCACAACGCGGAGCACGCCTTTCTCTTTACTCACACGATGTACTTAATATTGGTGAGCAACACGGGATACTTCGACTTCGTTGAGGTAAGTGAGCTTCGCGTCGAGCGCGGGCGACGTCGAAGCAGTAGTAGGTAGCTTATCCTGCACGTAGCGCATCATCGGGTGTTCTCCTGACAGACGGCGGCTCTAATGCTGGGCGGGTTGTGCCACGACCTAGACCACCCGGGCTTCAACAACAATTTCCTGCAACTGTCTCGGCATCCGCTCTCTCGCATGTATCGGTCGTCCACTCTGGAACACCATCACTATTTTCTCGCTAAGAAGATAATCGAGGCGAGTTTTAGCTTATATTTATTATATCCCGGCATAGATAAAGAGAAACAAAAAGATTGACTTCAAATTTTATTGTATCGTCAATGCGTTCACACAATTTTTCAGGACAAGAATCTTTTATCGAAGTTGTCCATAGCGGATCGTGAAAGGATAATGCAAGAATTAAAATACAACATTTTGTGCACGGATTTGGCTGTATATTTTCAAGTAGGTTTTTAACTTCTACTCATGTAGGTACTCGTATTTGCGAGTATTTGCCTTAATACACAGCGGTTACGGGAACATTGACCACAAAATGTCTCAATTTGCTATTACTCGTAGTCAGTGAGATTTCTTTTATATTTACTTCTTATCACCTTTTCAAGTTACGAGCACAACTCACTCCGTTATTAGCGGATTGCGGATTTGACTGGACTAATAACTCGCACAGGAAAATGTTAAAGGTAAAACGACATCGTCTATAAATGAGTGTTCCCTGTACTAACTCTAAAGCTAACGTTCGGCAGACTTAAAGGCGTAAAGTAGAATAATGCTCAGCTTCGTCTGCCGATATTTACGTTATTTCAGCAAAGCTCAGAATTACATATTGGACTATTTAACACATTATTATTGTACACATTCATACATATATTTACAAAGTCAGATAAACACATACGTAGTCGTACAGATGCCGAATACGCCGTCAGAAACAATAAGGCAACGCTCCTTTTCTATGTCTTTGCTCCTATTCTACATTATAAGTAAATATAGAAGTGCAATGTTTTTTTTTACTTTAGCGTAAAATCATTTCGTCGTGAACAATTAGCAAGTTTGCATGCAACCCACCTTTGTGTAAGTGTTACTTAGCTTAGGTACAAAATGTGCGGTAGAAGGTAGAAGTAGAGTAAACGTTCTCGTAAGTACTAACTACATCTATACCTATCTGATTGGCTGTTTTTTAGGGCATCTTAATGACGACGAGCGACTTGTCAGCTTCGTGCAAACCCTTCGGTGTCTCTAAAGTCATCTCACAATCCGTATATGAAGAATTTTACAATCAGGTAAAATTTAAGCGCATTCGAGATAGTTAGAAATAAATTTATTGACTGCGCCTGCTCTAGAGCGCGCTATGTAAGAGTGTGCGAGGGCTATGTCCTGCATTCCCCGCGCGATGCGGAGGTCGTCAGGAGCGCTCCGCCGTTGCGGCCGATCCCGGCCAAAACTATTTAAATTGAATGTCGGTCTACGACTAATACTTTCAATCGGTAAAGGGAGACGAGGAGCGCGCTCTCGGCTACACTCCGCTAAGCATGATGGACCGAAGCCGGAGTCTGAACCAACCGGCCGAACAGATACAGTTTCTCTCGGTCGTGGTCATCCCTTGCCTCGTGATGGTTCAGAACATATTTCCTAACACTAACCCTCTTCTGGACAACTGCAGGTATACGACGTCCTTCCCTTGTAGACGGTAGTAGACAGTCTACTACCGGCTAGGCCGAGGCCGTGGCTTTTTATACGTAATGATTAAGGTTAGAGTTTTAGCCGTGACATATGGTTTTCAATCTGATTCGGACGAAATGCACTGTTCTCTTCGATAAATTCGTATATTTCATGACTAAGCTTACATTTGTAGGAAAACTCAAGAGGCGTGGCGGGAGGAGATTGAAATTCGCGGCCAAAAGTTATGGCGTCAAAGCGAGTCAGTACCGCGGCCGAGCCGAAACCACTTTCAGGCGACTGACTGATGCTAGTTATGTCTTGAGATATTGCAATGGCGGGAAATGAGAAAACATTTGACATCATAGTAAATTTATTATATTATCCTAACCTAATGATTCACAATACAAATAAAATTGCGACCGGTGTTAATAACGAAGGTGTTTTCAATTCTGTGTTCTACAGAGAAGTAATAGTGCACGTCTAGATATGGCTCGAACGGGAAACGCACGCGTCGAGGTCCGAGTGCACTCCATTCATATTCGTAAATAAATAACAAAAGATATTGAATACTTTATAACAAAAATATGTTGAATATCGTATTATGCACCACTAAACTAACTCGGTTATACGATTTAACAATCGTAGGCTTATCTAAGATTGTCAAAAATACTTTATTTTACATACAACTGGATATTTAGCAAGATCTGGGATCTTAAACACATCATCAAACAATAATAACATAATGAGATTTTGTTAATGAGTAAACATATAATGATCCATTCGACCGGTGTGAGGGGTCAAAGTAACTTATTATATTATAAAGGGCATACAATGGAATAGAACATAGCAAAAGATACGCGTGAACGTCTTGTCGTAAGATCAGATACTACTTACGATACACCAATAATTATATTGCTTACTGATAACTAACGTAATAGAATGTATTTTTGTTCTAAAATATATTTTCGCGATACTCTCCCGTTTTGTCCGTTCGGAGAGCGCACGACGCGGTCTCCGTAAGACGGTAAACTATGAAACACCGAAATCCCTTTTCGTCGCTCCGATCGACAGACGTGGAATGAACAAGCCGCTGCGGCTGCTTCGAGGGTTGCCTCTTTTGCTTTAACGACTGGTATTGATACGCAGTGAGTTTCAATCCTACACTTTTATTCCTGGGGACGGTGATTTGTAAAACAATTCTCCTTTTGTGCTATGCGCCCTTAACCACCTCACTAGTAGCTTCAAAAAATATTTTTGCACTTACTATTTATATACAAATTCAGTTGAGGGAGCATAGTATGTTTTTGTTCATTAGCACTCCAATTTGATATCTGGAAACGGCCAATAATGAAATAAGCGCTCGGGCGTTATAACACATTCATCTAACCTAAGGTTTACCCACAGTATGTGATAAGACATTTACTACATTGGAATATTTTTTAGAAATTCACTTTGGTAAATAAATACATCAAACAAAGAACGAAAACTAAGGCCTCAGTTCTATTTATATTTAATGAGCCTATTTTAGGGTCTGAATTTTATCTAAACCACAATATTTCACTTAATTAAGACATAACGATAAATATATATATATATAATACCTAACCACTGCACAGAATTGGAGAATTGTTTTACAATATATTCAGTTTTTATTCGGTTATGTATTGCGAATTTTGCCCGGAACGTAGTTGCGGTCGATGGTCGGTTCCTGAAGAAACATGTGAAGACATCTCTCGTTCTGCGCCAGAGGATGTCCGGCGATCTTGTTTATAAATCCCTCTAGACCTGGAATGTAGTCATATGCACTAAGTCTCTGAATTAACTAACTAATTATCAGTAAATCTTATTTTTTTTTCAGCAAAATTAGTTCTGTTTCAGTTATTTTCATTAATTGTTGTACTTAGAGATGAGCATTTTAGGTACGGACCTAAGTTACTTATGAGATAATCAAATAAGTCACAGTCAAGTGACTCATGTGGAATATTGAACTCTTCTAGGTGTGAAAACAAATATTTCGTGCTGTGCTACACAAGCACAATTCACTTATGTAATTAAGCAGTGAACTTCATCCCACTCAATGTCCAGATTTTCAAACAGTCTAACCTAATAAATTATGCATTGCTTAGAAACATGTTGGACTCACTGGGAAGCTATCGATTAGCAATACATTGCTTTTGTGGGACCGATATCATCATAAAGAATATAGACATTATTCTGTGACCGTGCATGATAAAAATATGTTAACAAACCTATAAAGATTATTGGACTTATAACTTAAGATAAGACAAGGTCATTACTAGCATAGCCACTGATTGGGTTAGACTTTTTGTAAGGTTTCCCTTGTTATCACCACAATTATTGTTGTAATACATATTATGGCATGTAATACCTTTATATAAAAAAAACTATTGCAATTTAGAAAACCTATGATACAGGTAGAGTTCATAGTAGACACAGTAACCCAGTTGGTAACAATCAACAAGAAAAAGTTTTATCCATAACTAATGCTAATATATGGATAGAGTTCATAAATTTGAAGGTAAGGAATGGATATTCACCTTGAAGATGTATTAAAAGTTTAAGTCACAAGTACCTTTTCTGCGATCTTCAATAAATTCATCCTCAAAGATACCGTCGTCACCACGGAAGGGAAGTTGCCGTTTTAAAGCTTTACCAGGTAGAGGAGGTACCACAATCTAAAAAACATTAAAAAGTTATCTGTTTGAAAATAGAATAATATTTAATTTTATTTAAATATGAATTTTTGTTATTAAAACAGTGGTAAATAGAAATTCCGGTAATAATAAACGGCAAAGACAGGAAATGAGTCATGCAAGAACCCAATAATTACCTTACTATCTCTTTCCAATTCATTCCTCAACCATTCAAAGTCACTGTATCTTCTTCTAACACTGGACTCTTTTACTTTGAAAACGGGAAGGTTCGTCTGAAAGCGGAAATTGATTCAACCTCAGCTCAACGACTCATCGTTCTATAATCCTATTACCAAAACGCCCACTTATTTGTGTATTGATCTGCAGTTGACCAATCTATCATCAGTAATTATTAATGTTCATAATGCTTGGGCTGTAAATAAGCGATCAGGCTTACCCTCATGCGAACCTCGTAATCCGTATAACGTTTTTTTCCAACACCCATGGTGGTAACAGGATTTACCACGTCGATTTCTAAAAAATTTGCCGGTGCAGCATAAGCATCGTCTAAAGTCTGTTTCTTAACATTTAATCGTCGTGTGGCATCGGCCGTTGTATCTTCAGCCATCATTACGTTTTATTTCTCTTAGCAATCAAAAAGTTGAAGCCAGCCTATTAAACAACAAAAAGAAAATCACAGAAAATTCATGATGCATTTGAGTTTGACATTGTTTGTGGTGACAATTTGCATTATCGGTAAGATGTCACATTTTAATTCATACGTCTGTATTTTGGATGAACGTTTATGGTTTTAGATTGCGCCAACTGACAATTTGAAGTGCGATTTCAATTTTCAATACAAAGCAGATGAGAGTGACGTTGGCAGCACTTTTGACCACACTATTACAACACGACAACAAAAGTTTAAAATCAAATAATAATAAAAGCCAAGCTCACAAGGTTAAAATCTAGAATTTTTGTTGAATTTAAATCACGTTGTAATTTTCAGCAAAACCAAATCTTAGAAATTAATGGTTTGCATTTAAGAAATATGTTTATAATTTATTTTTTGCTGGGCTAGAGCACGTATCGAGGAAGGTTATAGGCTTTTAAATATCGCGTTGTGGCTACAAGGAGCAAAGAAACAGCGGGAAAAACCATTCATCTTAATGGGTTTACGATGCATATGCTGCGAAAACGGTACAAGATACCCAAATGATATGTATTAAATAATGATAAATCGTCAAATTATCGTATTAAATAACAATGACATAAAAACATTTAAGTACGTTGTCCTGAAAATGATTTCAAATATTGAGATCGTTTCACAGATTATAATCGATGTTTCTTTATCCTTGTGTCATCTGTGCCATCAACTTTAATCTATAAAAGGCATCACTGGGTGTATACTCTCTGTGGTTTGAAATCGGCCATATTTGTTGTGATTTTATCTCAAGTTAAAAAAATACATTATCTTCCTTTTTATTTATTCACAATTGATTAAAAGTGGATAATAACCACAAAACCTCTATAACAGCCATCATCGAGTATTTAAAAATATGCAATGAATGTTGAATGGATACCTTACTAAAAAAATCGCAAATATTTTGTCACGATTTTTAGATAATCATTTATACTTATAGAAACTTAAACATATACTTATTAACGCTCGTGAGTTGTAAAATGTCCACAACGGCAAAAGTCGCCGTCTCACAAATTCTTCGCCATAAAGATGATTTGGGTGACGAGGACAACGAACCCAAGAAGAAGTCTAGAGAAGACTGGCGGAAAGCGAAAGAATTAGAAGAGGCTCGTAAAGCGGGGACTGCACCTGCTGCAGTAGATGAGACAGGTAATTTTATATTTAAATAAAACACTTTAACGGTTTAAAACGCGATATATTAGTTAAACTTATTTGAAAATGATTTTTAACTTCGCAGCAGCCGTGCAAAGCATCCGAAACGTCGGGCCGAAGTTAAAAATCATTTTCAAATAAGTTTAACTAATATATCGCGTTTTAAACCGTTAAAGTGTTTTATTTAAATGTGTACTACTCGCGTAAACTATAGACAGTATTTAATTTTATATTTGTTTTTATCTCTTTATTGTTACTATTCTTGTTTTGAGTGTGTCTAATTTTAGTAATGTAAATAATAAATTTTCTAGGGAAAGACATAAATCCTCACATCCCACAATATATATCATCTGCACCATGGTACTATGGCACAAGCGGACCTACACTTAAACATCAGCGCCCACAAGAAGATCGAGAAGGCAGCTTTACAAAACTTGATACATACTATAACAAAGGTGTTGACAAAGTAAGAGTTATTCATAAATATATAATGGAATTTAACTAGAATTTTCTAATAGAATATATTCCAAATATTTTACAAATTAATATTTCTAGACTAAACTCGCCACAAAGTTCAGGAAAGGTGCATGTGAAAATTGTGGAGCTTTGACTCATAAGAAAAAAGATTGCCTTGAAAGACCAAGAAAGGTTGGTATGAATTAAATCTTGCTACAACACTACAATTTTGTTAGTATCTGTAGAGAAGAAAGAATATCAAACTATGTTTCAGAATTTGGAAAAGACAATTTACACTGTATTACCTAAACTGTGTCTTTTATCCTTTAGTTTCAACAGTTTGCTAACTTAGTAGTAGTTTGTAGTCTTTAAAAAGAAAAATTATAATATCTAAATATAAAATAAAACACTTTAACGGTTTAAATTGTGAAATGTATCAGTTAACTTATTTACAGCACACTGTAGTTAAAATAAATTGAACATTAAAATTTTGCATGCTTAGCGGCAACTGTGGTTATGGGGGTATTAAGATATTTAATACTTTTCGCGTTATGAAATATAAAAGTGTTTCATTTGAATGTGTACTACTTGCATTAACTACAGACATTACTATCAACAAATTTCAGATTGGAGCAAAGTTCACAAACGCTGGTATAGCACCAGATGAATTCAATCAACCAAACCTGAATCTAAGTTACGATGGGAAAAGAGACAGATGGAATGGTTATGACCCAGCCGAACATAAAGCTATTATAGAAGAATATCAAAAAGTTGAAGAAGCCAAAAGAGAAATGAGAGCTAAGAGATTGGAGGAAGGCATGTCAATATGATGTTTTTGCTCTACTGCATTTCTAATTTGTTATGTTTATGTTTAAAAAGCATTTTAAAAATTTTCACTCACTTTCACTAAAATTTTTCAAACGGGCACAATATACTAAAACGATTTTCAGATCCAACTGCCACTGAGGATGACGACAGAGAAGGTGAAGATGAAGACAAATATGTTGATGAAGTTGACATGCCCGGTACTAAGGTGAGCGATGTGATGTATTTACTTTACTAGTGACCTTGAAGCATCGGATACAACTACAAAGTTGCGAGCTTGTGGCTTGGTTGTATTTTGTACACTCAACAATGTAATATGGCGTTACAGGTGGACTCGAAACAACGTATCACAGTACGGAATCTACGAATTCGAGAGGACACGGCCAAATATCTTCGCAATTTGGATTTGAACTCTGCATACTATGACCCCAAGACGCGCTCCATGAGAGACAATCCACACCCTGAAGCGGCCGAGTAAACTTTTTTTTCGAATAACAAATTTCTTCTTTCGGTTCTTCTTGACACTTGCAATACACACATGTATTATACAGCTTATTCGAACAGACGATTACTTTAATTTCAGAAGTGACTACGCGGGCGAGAACTTTGTGCGCCTGACGGGCGATACGGTATCTCATGCCGCGGCCCAAGTGTTCGCTTGGGAGGCGCAGTCGGCGGGGCTGGACGTGCACCTATTGGCCGAACCCACTAAGCTGCAAATGTTGCAGAACGACTATCATCACAAAAAGGAACGTTTCGAGGGCCAAGTAAAGCAATCGGTGCTAGATAAGTACGGAGGAGAAGAACATTTGAGAGCTCCACCGCGTGAATTGCTTCTAGCGCAGACTGAGGTCTTCACTCAATACAACCGAGATGGTACACTTGTCACAGCATCTGAAAAACAGTGGCTTAAGTAAGAAAACCTATCACGGTACAACACCGCCAATTTTTCGGTCATAGATATACATTCAAAATGTAAATGTCATTGCAGGAGCAAATATGAAGAAGACACTTTGATAAACAACCATACATCAGTTTGGGGCTCCTACTGGAAAGAAGGTCAATGGGGGTACAAGTGTTGCTATTCTTTTATCAAAGTAAGTCTTCATACGTACGTTTTATAAATTTAGAAAACCCTACTTAACATACTTTACAATGAGCGTTAAGAATGCTTTGTAACATTAGTACGTTGTTAATTTTCAGATGTCGTATTGTGTGGGCGAAGCGGGCAAAAGCGTCGTATCGGAGGTTACAAGCAATGCTAATGTTTATGCGGATAGAAAAGGTAGTTAAAATTGATTAAATATTAGTTGTTTTATTTTACTCTTATAATAATTTAGCTCTTAACGTTCCCGTAGCCGTTGCAAAAACGGAGAACTCATCATCTTCTAGCTCGGATTCTTCGGAATCGGAAGCTGACTCTCGAAGTAAGACTGAAAAAACGAGCAAAAAAAAGAAGAACAGAAGGAAAGCTAAGACAAAAAGAAAAACAATCGAAAAAGAAAAGAAGATGGAAGACAAGTTGAAGAAGGTTTGTAGTTTTATTTACATTGGTTTGCCATAAAATAATGGTTCGGGCCAGTCACCAACCGTGTTATATCTAAATTTAAGAATCTAAACATGTAGACACTACTGGGCCCTGTAATTGGCTGCGATGTGTGGCTAAACCACGTATAATATGGCCGACGTAACTTAGCAAGTCTGATTTTAGTGCGAAACGCTGCGCAGAAATGTTCCTTACATTTCTGCGGTTAACGGTGGTAAGAGCGAGGTGTGCGGGACGGAGGTCTATTCTAGATTGACCCATTGTCAACACAATCGACCGTTTATTCTATTAAATTTCGTAATCGATTATCGATTTTGATTATGAATTTTTAATCGTGTGGGATATTGTAGTAAATTGATTTATAAGCACAGTTAATGGTGTTATTAACTGTGCTCATAAACGTGATTTAGAAAAATATGAGTTATTATTCATATAATTACTGTTTATACCTTCTTTAGGGGTTTTTATTCAATTATATTTCTACGATCCAATTTACTCAATCTTAATTGGAATCGATTAACGACACTCAAGAATCGCGTATGGACATCTCTATTTGATTCTTTCGTAAAGCTTCGTACATATTCGGTAAACAGTAGTATGTTTCGGTCACTCCTTGGCGTTAATTTCGTTATCTCTGTCTTGAGCGCAGTCTGTTAGAAAAGTCATTATTTATTGTTAAATTTAATATTATTATTTCTCTTTTGTTATATTTTTGTTTTGTCTCTGTATTTTAGTGAAAAATAAGTGTTCGTAGCCCTTATTCTCTTTGAATCAACTATTGGTATGTTACTATTGCTTGCTATAGGTAAAATCTTTCATTTATCCCAGTAACGAAAATAAATGGCAGTACTAGTTTTCTTTACGATTGTACATGCGCCAAAGTTTGTCTAACCTCTGTTCAGACTTGCCAAGTTACGTCATATTATAATCGAGCCTCGAGATACTATAATCGAGCATTATAATAAATCGTGTACGGTTTTAATTACGAGGCGCATCGGGGCTGACAGTTCGATCTGCCGGGTGGTGCGAGCGTTGAAAGAAGGAATATGATGGAGTATTCCAGGAAAATATATAAAAACACCGAAGGGCTTAGGTGTTGTACCAATGTAAATTAAGTTTAAACAAATTGAGTTAAGATAATTCTAGATGAATAAAAATAAATATCGTCTCTTATCTTTCAGGCTCTGGAAATGGAAGAAAGAAATCAGAGACACGCCGAATATTTACTATCTAAAGATGAAAGGAAACGACCTTACAATAGTATGGTCGAAGTGAAAGAACCAACGCAAGATGAAATGGAAGCCTATATGATGAAGAGGCGCCGAGATGAAGATCCGATGAATCAATTTATGTGAAAGGGATAATTTGTCATTAAACCGTTATCATTCGTTAAAGTGCACCTAGTTGCTAAACATATTTGTATTTACTATTTCAAAGAAAACGAGTGCTATAATAATAAAATTTATTCACATAAAATAAAATCGTTTTCTCCATATCACGATTAGGAAAAGATTCCTCGTAATGTGTGGGCATGTCTTGAAAACCTACAGCTTCCTTCTAGCTCTCGGGCGGTGGTAGGAGGGTCTCGGAACCCGAAGCCGCTCATCGCTATCGACAGTCTGAGGACAAACCTCTTCTAGAGGCTCCGCTCTCGGAGTGAACAGCTTCCTTCGGCTTCGTGTTATCCTGTATACGAGTGAATACACATTACATAAAAAGACTTCTGTCTGTTACGATGTTAAATGATAAAGTAGTCGCCATTTGTCCTATAACAAATGGCGAGCTTATTTTCCCCGACGTCAGTGATCGCTCGAAGGGTCAGTTATGCGCGTAAAACGCGTATTAAGTTAAAATGGGAAACTCGTTAAAGCTAGTAACATAAATCTGAATTTAGTTATCCACGAAACACTAACATTCGGTCTCCTCGAGCTGTTTCGTAAAAAGTAGGCACATATTCACTGAAATAATAATAGGTTGGTTATCTTTTGAAATTTAATTCGAATCGAATGAAATATATGTAATATACTTAATGAGAGAAACTACGTACGATTTGGATGGGCAACTTTGAATTTCAAGCGACGGAGGCATATTTTCACCGTCGCTCTTCTCAGGTGAAGGTATATCTTGCACGACCTTACCCGGTGCTGGAACGTCCATCGTGACATCAGAAAATTCAGTTTGCAAGTTAACAATGTTCTTATCATCATCATCGTTTTTGCGCCGGCGCAGTCGGAGATTTCTTTTCTTCTTAGTTTCACATTTCGCTTGAGATTCGAGCGATACTTTGTCTCCTATGAGGTTTGAAGGTCTAATAAACTCTTTACTTTCCTCATCTTTACTTTCGCCAAAAGTAAGATATTGCGATTTTGTTTTATATGATTTTTTTCTTAAATTATATTTAGATTCGGTTTCACTCTGGAGTTTAAGAGTTTCTTCCGTTTTTGTTAATAACAAATCAAATTGAGTCGCTCGGGGTACAGATATGTCTTTATAAATATTTTCAAAGGCTTCTAATGTGTTGTCTATTGATGAAGTCGCAAAATCCATTATCGCTTTGACCTTTTCATTCGTTTCAATTGTGTGGACATTCTCTTCCACCTTGTTTTCGTAGCAATTATCTTTCAAGTTATTTACCAACGTATGGTTTTTAATATTATTGTTGCTATTGTCATTAGGTATCTTAAAAGCGTCGTCATGATCCTTGACGAAAGCCTCGGTTTCTGGAGATTTATCCGTTACAGTTGTATCCTCATAACATCCCTTATTTAATGTAATATTGGCTCTTATTGGTTTTCCTTCAGTTTCGATACTCAAACTCTCTTCTTTACATTTTAGGGTACCTAAACACGACATACTTTTCTGGGTGTCGTTATTTAAAATGTTTTCATGAAATTGTTTTGTCGCAATCCCTAAGTTTTCTGAAGATGAATGTTTTATTTCATATTCATTAGAAATTACTTCTGTAATGACCATGTTGAATTCTTTTTCAGTAGGTGTTTTAGAGTTTCTTCTAGGCAATAGTATATCCTTGCTTTTGCAACTTGTAGAATCTTTATCAACCAAATCTGTACTGTTAACTGCCCTACTTAATGGAGATATTGATACGTTACTTACATGACATTTTGATAGTATGTCGGATTGAGGTTTAATAGTAATTTGCTTTTCTACTTTTGTGCCAAGGTGAACAATATTCGAATCGACGGCTTTTACGCTGCACGTGTCTTTAGCTATATGTGGCGAATCAAACAAGTCAACAGACTCATGTGACATTTTGTAATTATTGCAATTAGGAGTCAATAACTTAATGGCTGGAACTAGTGTTAAATCGTTACTTGTGTCATCGAGTACTTTCCGTGTGGAGCTTATATTTTTAGTCAAAAGTTTTCTCATTAGACTAGATTCGCTGTTATTATTATTGGCCACATCTTGCACTATGGAAGGAGATCTCTCATCACCTTCATTAACTAGATTTTCAATTGTTTTAATATCGATGTTTTCTCCGTTGTCATTAAAGAAACTTTTTAATTTTGAACGGACCTGAGTTCCAAATTTTTCGTCAACCACAGAATCGGAGACTTCACAAGCCTCGGCAGCAAGTTCAAGTTTTTCAAATTGTGCTAAAGAATCCTTTCTTTTATACTTCTTTGTATCGTTGTTAACAAATGAATCAGTCTCAGCGTCTAGCAGTGGAGGTAGATTATCTTTTTCACAACAAATCGGAATGTCATGGTTATCCATACAGTGTTTTTCTTCAGTTTTTTCATTATGTCCGTTATTACATTTTTCACCCTGAATGTTAATATCAGAATATTCTAAAACACTATCAATAGATGTGTGGCTAACATTGCCAAGGTTCAAACTTTGCTGCATTAATCGTGATCGATTAATATCCACTCGTTTAAAGGTTGGCTCAAGACTTTCATTGCAAATAGCATCAATTTCTTCAATGTCACTTTCTGAGCTCGATAGATCTACTTCATTATTCGTATTCTCTGCAACAAGACAAGGTTTTGCTAATTTTTTTCTGTAGGATTCATAACTATCGTAGCTCAAATATGAAAATCCTTTTACATGTAGTGTAAAAGTATTTTCCTATTCTATTTAAGGAATCTTAGTATATACCGGAAAAAATTAGAGAGCAATGACATAGAAAATACATATTTCTTTACCATCTCTTTCTTCAATGCAAGCACGTAAGTGTTGTACCTCTTCCTCAACTCTGGCGCGAGCTAACTGTTCAGCTGATAGTCTTTCCTGGAACATTTATTTAATTATAGATATAGATGGGAGTAATGGGAAAAGAATACAAATACCCATTGTATCTTACCTTTAGAATAGCGATTTCGGTCACGAGTTCAGCGACCTGAAAAATATAATTATATTTTCAGAAGTTTTATTATTCTGTAGTTATTGTCTACATGACAATGATAAAAGAAAGAGATAAAAACAAATAATAAGTGGCAACATAATACAGGGTCTAAAGATGGAACTATAAGCCGAATTAATTATATCAGATAAGATTTCTATGTTACAAAAGTTACTATAAAATCTGTATATCTTTACCTTATCACGCATGGAAGGTGACTTCGCACTGAGACGACGTTTTAAACCGCTAATGAGACTTTCATACTCTTCTTTCAAATCTTCTATCTGTTAAATGTCATCTAAACTTTTATATTTTTCATATAATAACATATGACGTGATGGCCCCACATAAATTAAAAATTGATTTTAATTTGATAAAAAAATTACGACACGCTCAGGATTCGAACCGGCATCCACGGCGTTCCTTGCTGTCGCTCTAATAAATTGAACAAATTTTTAAATCGATTTTTTAAAATATGTATTGCTTTTTATTGGAGTATTTACTCTCTCTCAAATCGCATGCAATCGCACCTACCTCCTTGTTGAGCGCGTCTATTTGGGGTTCGTAATACAGTCTGCTGTTCTCCTTGACTTCGTCGACCAGTTCGCGCATTGTGTCCGCGTTCGTGGCTCGCCGTTCCTCCATCATTGCTGACAACTCTTTGTTATGATTCTGGGCTCTTAACAATAATAATCTAATCAATTTAAGTTTTTTTTAATAAACATATTTTTATTGTAACAATACTTGGTACAAATAGTTCGGGAGCCTTTTTTATGTTAAATTGAGTGCACTGTTACGTCTATCTTAAAAAAATTAAATCAATACATACTGCAGCAATTCAAAGCGCAATCTCTCGTTACAAGTTCGTAGTTTCATTAATTCTGAGTTTAGGCTGCCGCTGTGGTCTCGAATACTGCTCTCCAAGGAACTCGGATATTCAGACAACGTGTTGTTAATTTCTGTAATATGTTTTAATACGAGTTTTATGATTCTGCTATGCTCTTTTTTGTTTTTAGTACGAGTGTTTACAATTTTTTCGCTTAGTTTATTTTATCTCATATAAGCACTCACGTATGTCCTTAGCGACCGCGGCGAGTTGCAACACGTGTTTGGTTTCGTTGGTGTATTCTGGGGACGGGTTGAGCGTCACCACCATGCTCACGGCCTCCCCGCGCGCACCCGACAACCCCGCGCCGAGCAGACGGGTTAACTTTGACTCCCTTGAATTGAAACCGATCAGAACACGTTAATTGTTCGGCCGTCGTCGGGACTGAGAAATACCTCTGCGCATACTGACCGGTACGGCACGAGTGCGTTGTGATCGGCCGTTTGTTTCCGACGCAAGGTGTGTAGACAGCGTTCGAGTACATGAAGCGAACTGTTGATCGCGCGGGACTCTTGCATGCGAGCACCCGTATTGCGCGTGCGCCGGGCCCGCTCGCAGCCGGCCAAGTCGCACAGGCGTACGCACGAGGTCGTGCATCCGTTTTCTGCAACATTCAAATAAAACAGTAAAGAAAGGTTAAGTATTTAGAATACTTTATGTACATATTGTCTATATATCACGTTTTCCACGACACATATCTAATTGAGACAGAAATTAAACATTGATATAAGAAAATAAATAAATGGGGTACAGCAACAACAGAGTTTCTGCATCTTTGCTTTTGAGTAATGCCACGGATGACATTTAAGAGTAACAGCCAGAAACAATTAGTTTTTGAAATGTTGTAATAGTCCAGGAATCCCAGAGCCCTAGAGCCCTAGACGTCACTAATTTTTTTATGGACAAAATATATACGGGAGTACACCCCAGCACTACTCACTTGTATATATTTTGTCCATCAAAAAATTAGTAACGTCTGGGAGCTCTGGGATCTTCCTCTATAATATAGTATGTCAAATACCAGTCTCATTTAGCATGGTGATAGTGAATATGCAGTGGGATCTTGAAGATTGAGCATGGACACCCGTAGCTGCCACCTGAAGGTTATGCTTGCCGGCGACCATTATATCGTAAGCTTCCTCACCCGACCTCACAAACACTTGAGTGGCACCCTGTACACAAGATGGTAAAGATATTAAAATTCAGCAAGTGATATAATATTTTCAAACATAAAAGTGATTCTAAATGTCAGCTATCTGAGATACAAATGTAAATTGTTTACCATGGATAATTAAAATTTTTATACTCAATCAGCTGTGTGACAGATATGGATATCCCTACAATAAATACAAACATACCTTAACAAAGACATTTCCACTAGCATCTTCCCGAATAAGAAGCTTCGGTGATGATCGGTTTTCTGTTGTAGCAAGTAAGTCATATATTCCTTCATTGTAAATTTCAATAAATGATACCTGAAATATTCAATAACCTTAAAGTTAATCTATAAAATATAGATAATGAAACCAAAAAAAGTTGACATATTTATCTAAAGATTAAATTTTTATGAGTAACTATTCATGCAATAGTATAGGAATAGTATGCCGTAAATATATAATTGAATGGTCCGAAGAGGACTCAAGGTGGAAGAGAGTTAGGGTAGGATATTGTTGATATAGTATGTTTAATTTTAAGTCAAGATTACATAACTCACCCACACATAATGCTTGTTGCTATTCAAATTGAAGGAGCTGCCAGTATATTCAGTACTAAGGCGCACACTCATTCGTCTATACTTATCTCTCAGAGGTGCCGATAATTTTCTGATTTTCTTTACAAACTGTAATTATTAGGCCAAATACTTAATAATTTATATTTGCACATTGAATAAAAGCATAATTAATTTACTCGAAAACCTCTAAAATGTAATATATCATAAGGAAAAATAAGAAATTTAACTAACCATTAATTCATTCTCTTGAGCGGAAATACTCAAAATATCAATACCTCCTTCTGCCGGCTTATATACTGGGCGTGTTTCGACACACACAGTTTTAAACAGATATTCTAAGGATCTAGGGACCAAACCAGGTGAAGCCACGGTACCCATGAGTGTGTAAGTCTTACCGGAACCAGATGCTCCATAAGTCAATAGAGTAAAACTATGACCGTCCTTGAGCCGTTTCAAATTATCTTTTACGACATGGTCAAAAATGTCCTGCAAAAAAGTATTATTTATGAATTCAAAATGTAGCTTAATTTAATGCACAAATAATTTTCATACCTTTTGAGAGGCGTTTTCGCGAAAAATATGCGAAAATGTGTACATTTTCGAGACATTATGTTGCGTCCTTCGTCCGTGTCCTGCCGTCGCAGTATCCAGAGATGTGATCAAACATCGCTCACCGCGAACGTCATATAAATTACTCGGAATACTGCACGGTTTTAACCTTAAGAATACCTGTACTAAGTCTGTCTCTTGATAATCAGAGTCGTCTTCGAAAAGATCCATTAGGTTTGTGCCCTTTTGTGGCCGCGGTCTCATAAATGGATTAGTAATCAGAGGAGGACGAGGCTCTATAAACGAAGGCACATCTCTTTTGGAAATTTCAGATTCCGAGATGGTATCTGACATAGCTCACTCTTAACATAAGAAACAAACAATTCTATGTGGTATGTCGGTCGGTGGAGATGAAGCAAAGATTCCAACTAAATTTCAACCGTTCGACCGTTTGAAAATTTAAAACAGTCAAACTTTTTTGTTCGGCCGAGGCGTATTGTCAATTGTCATGTGTCCGATGTCAAATCACTCAACGGAACATTGACGCGATGTTTCAATGTCGTTCCGTTCGATGAAAACTTCAATTACAAACTCGCTCGAACGCTGACATTTAGTAGTTTTGAGAATAGTTTTTACTTTTTACTAATGTCGGCCAATTGCCTTTGCGTTCCTTTATTGTTGTTTATTTTTATATCGTTATCGAACTAATACGTTCTATTTGAGTGTAATTTTGCTTGGTACGATCGATTTGAAACACACCGACCTGCGGGCATTATTTATTATGTGTAACTAATAATAGTTGGAGGAATTAATGTAAAGGGCGAGTTGATTAAAAATGTGATTGTTATTTGAAGTTGGCTTTTTGCCATCCTGAAGTTATGTTTAGAAGCAAAATGGTTTGGTTTTCGGCTATTGTGTGGTTCTTAATAATAGGAAAATCGGTTGGCTTCTGTCCGTCCTTGTGTTCATGTAAAGGAACGAAACAAGTTGACGGTTTGGAGCCAACAAAACCAGAGGAACCCCTGAAATTACGATGTGGTGGAAACCCTGCACAAATTACAGAACTAAAAGAAATTGACCTCAGCAAGATGTTAACAACTGTTGTAAACTTGTAAGTCTACATAAAAATGATTGATTGTTGTTAACTTCTACACATAAAACTAAAAATGTTGTTTTTTTTAGGGATCTGTCTGGAAATGCAATATCAACATTGTCGAGAGAATTAAATTTGCCGAAATTACAAAAACTGTAAGTAACAGTGACTGAAGCTTAGATTTGCATATTCTCATGAATAATGCCATATAATTATGGCAATGTAAATTGTTCGCTTGTAATCTAAATAAACAGTAAATAAATAAACAATTTATTGATATAATGTAATTTTTGCATTATTTTATTTATTAATATGATTTGGGATACTGTCTTTTTTGCAGAGATTTAAGTAAAAATCTAATAAACCTTATAGAATCAGATGCTTTTTATAATATGACATCAGTTCAAAGATTGGATTTGTCTCACAATCAAATTAATCATATATATAAAGAGATGTTCAAAGGGCTCCTTAACTTGGAAAGGTTGAATCTCTCTCACAATCATATATCTGTCCTTAATGCTGGAACTTTTGATCACCTTATTGGGCTCAAGCAAATGTAAGTGCAGAGTCTATCCTATTGATGGGGTTCAGATATACTTATTGATAGTAAATAATAACAACAATACTTTTGTTTCCAGTGATGTCACTGAAAACCCACTAATCTGTGATTGTGATTTACTGTGGCTCGGTGATTGGTCAAGGAACACGAGTGTTAAATTGGTTGGTGGTCCTAAATGTGCATTTCCCGAAAATATGGCAGACAAACCTGTTAGGAAACTGAAAATATTTCTAGACTTATCTGCTTGTGGAAGTGTTCTGCCAGCGAGTAGCTTAATTGTCAAGCCCTCCCATGACCAGGTTGTCTTTGAAGGAGACACGTTAAGGTTAACATGTGATGCTCCATTTGCGTCAGTGGTTGCTAAGTATGAATTAAACTGGGTGCATTCCATGCAAGAGTGCTGTGCTGATGTGAATATAACCAACACCGACATGCAAGAAGAAGGACTAGCAGAGACTACAGTATTCTTTCCTTGTATATCCAGCCATCACGCTGGCAATTGGACGTGCACATACTGTGATCAAAATCATATTAAACACAATTATACAATACAAGTCATAGTTTTGTCCAACTTGACTCAGTATTGCCTTACAGACAGCACAAATGGCAACAAAGGTTTGTATTCGTGGCCACAACTATTGTTGAACCGCACGGCGTCCGTACCTTGTCAAAACGGTGAAGGGTTGGCCTATAGGTTCTGTTACCCTAACGCTACGTGGGCCCAAGCTAATACCACAGAATGCTCATACGTGAGCAATATCACAAAGCTGTTACAGCAATTCGCGTTATTAAATGTTAGTCTGGTGCAATATTCAGCTATTAATGCCACAGAAAGGTTAGCCATGTTAATCGAAGACAAGACCTATCCTCTAGCTGAGATTTCCGATGCTGATGATGTTATGTTTATTGCTGCCGCTGTGAGAAACTACATGCAGTATGTGTCAGAAGATAAAGATTTAGGTAGGATTTTATTTTGATGCAGTATTATTTGTAGATGCTACTTTTATTGTTAAATGTTGTGCATTGTAGGAACATCTTTACTAGAAGTAATAGAAGCATCGATGAACATTTCTTCAATGGTTATGTCTCAAGCAGAGGTGGCTTACCATGCTTGTACTGACCTCGTGCGAGCCGCTGAACAGATCTCATCCCATACTAATAATGTGCAAGGGCATAAGGTAATTGTGGCTTTGTATTATTTTTTATCTCAGAAGTGCATGCGTACCATCTCTTCTTAACATATTCGCTTTATTTCTGGCGTAAGCTTAGTGGGCCCCATTACCTACGTTTAAGTCGAAAATAAATATAACTTCACGATTTGTTAAACGATTCTAGAAAAAGCTCGCCGTAGAACGATTCCCAGCGCGCGAGGGCTTCAGCGGTGTAACCTGCGTCTGGTACAGTTCTCCTTTGGACCGAGAGGCCTCTAGGAGATTGCACTGTTCCACGACAAACCGTACAGTCGCTCCAATATTAACAGTGACTGATGCCATTATTCACGCCAGCGTCCAGGTACTCGACTACCATTAAAACGACTGATCAGATGTTAAGGATGCATTTTAACCTTATTTTCTATTGTTATTCCTCAGCTACTCGTGTAATGTATCTATCTGTTTCCATTTGCTAAATAAATAAAACCACGTTAGCGCATTAGATCACTCATCGTATTAATCTTTGGGATTTAGATTCCACAATCACTACTCTACAGCACATCGGACTCCGGTCAATTATTACAAAGCAAGCATCAAGAACTCGTAGTTTCTTTTTACGAGGATGCATCGCTGTTCCCTTTGCTGCCGGTCGTCGACGAGGGAAATATACGAGGCCACAGATCTAAGGACTACTACGGCCGAAGTACGAAAAGAGAGGATATGAATATGGAAATCACGTCGCCCGTCGTCGGCTTCCAACTCGGCAAGTGCTCGTTTCCTCATTGAGAATAATTATAAGGCGTTAACAGGTATACGATGTATTAAATTAAATAATCTACCTACATTTTCAGATAAGGTGTCGGTTCGCGGCGAGCTTCTAGAGCCGATAATCGTGACAGTGCGACTCGCCTGCGGCGGAGGAGTCGAGGCGCGCGCGGCCGTGTGGGAGCCCGCGACTCATCGCTGGACGGACAACACGAGCGGTAATCGATGCATGACCCGGCCTCTACGCTTACACACTCGCGAGCGTGGTCTGAGCGGCTGATCGAGCGCATTAATGTTTCCAGATTGCCGAATATCGCACGTGGTGTCGGAGATGATCATCGTCAGTTGCACGCGTCTAGCCTACGTGGGCTTGCTGCAGAACGTCGAAAGCGGCATATACGGGGCGCGCACGGACGGCGCCCGGTTCAAAGTGTCCCACCCGGCCGTGTACGTGGGCAGCCTCATTCTGATGGGGTGCCTCGGCTGCGCCACCCTCACCTACATAATGTGCTATTCCAACATACAGATGCCTAAGAAGTCAAAGCACGCTCTCATCAACACTTGGATAGCCGTCGGCCTGTTGTGTTTCATGTACACTTTGGGCATTTACCAGACCGAAGACGTGAAGTTGTGTCAGATCCTGGGACTGCTGATTCATTACTTGTCTCTGTGTTGCCTTTTATGGATGTGCGTGTCGGCGAGTAATATGTATAAGTGGGTGACGAAAACTCACGGACCGGCCGGAAGCCCCGAAGACGAACTGCCTCCGGATGTGCCGATACGGAAGCCGATTTTGGGACTGTACCTCGTGGGATGGGGCATAGCTCTCATCGTGTGTGGCATTTCCGGTGCGGTCAATCTGAAGGACTACGCCGGATATTCCCAGTGCTTCTTGAGCACCGCTCCGGCCCTGAGCGCTCTCTTTATCCCGGGGGCGATCTTACTGATGTTCTTGTCAATTTTATTTCTTCTCATTCGATGTACCATTAGAAACATGAACGTCCAGCTCTCTGAAGGAACGCAAGCGACAGAAAACGTGGACTTAGAGATGTGGGAGCCCAATGGGGCCGACGACGCGGAAAGACGGAGCGTCAAGTCCGCCGTCGAGTCGGAAGTGGAGGACGTCGAACACACGCCCATTATACAGTTGCGCGCGCAAGTTATCGTACTGTGCTTATACGTGTCCGTGTGGACGTGCGGCGGCGTGGCGGTGTACAGACCCTTGCCGGCCTATCTGCCTTACCAAGAAGACATCTGTAGTATTGTTTATGCGGTTTGCGCGACGATCCTGGGCACTTTCATCTTGTTCTTTTACGGTATAGCGCGAAATGACGTCAGAACGCAGTGGTCGTTGATGCATTGCTACCTTCAGTCGAGCAAACAGTGCTGCAGGAATCGAAGCGTCTTCGACGCAAACCATAGGGGTTTGGCTGCGGATCGGTCGAACGCCCCGGTTTCGCAGATTCCGGTCGATAACAGATCTAGATCCGGCTCCAGAAGTTCTAACCGAACTAATTCTAAGACTAACAACAGCGCCACTTACAAAGCCGGAGCGGAATTAAACGGTCAAACCTTGCAGAAAGACCGGAAAACGGAACCGAAGAACGGAAAGACTTCAAATATTAACCTCGTCGTGCTGCACCGGCAACAGTACAGGTCGAATAATTCAATGATGACGTATACGGACAGTGGCCACTTTGCGCCTGAAATGTTTTACAACCCGAATCAAATCAATGTCGCCAAGAAGTTTTTCAAGAAACAAAGACAGCACATGAAAAGAAATCGCTTGGAACTGCCTTTACGAAGAGATTGCGACGAGGACTCGCACGTTTCCCTCCCACTGCCGACCTTAGAAGTCTACAATGGCATCACGAGTATGATGAAACCTGGAGCGAAGGTGAACAATACTAATTTCCACGTAGATAAAGACAGCAATGTCGCCAAAGAATCGCGAAACGCTCTAAATCCCAATCTTCTGGAGGATGAATCGAAGGACTTTAAAAATTACTCGTCTGTCAAAAAATCTTGGAACAAAAACGACGCAAAAGATCAAATAATCAATATTTATACAAACGTGCCCGAGACACAAATACCGCAGCACCAAGTCGTCAAATCGAACGCTCAGAAATGTTTGAACGGGCAAAGGAACAGTGTCTCGGAGGAGTGCTTGAAGAGCCAGGCTAGCGAGCATCCGGAGACGAGGACGATTTCGCAGCAATGCAGCTTGGAATACAGCTCGGCATCTGAAATGGCCCTGCCTCACACGTGCTCCGACCAGACGATCGACACGCACTCCGAGCTGACCTCCCTGCAGGAAACCCAAAGCGCCCTGTGCTCCACCAACGAAATAACCGACACGGAGAGTTTCGGCCAATACATCGACTACTTGCAGCCGACCAGGACGAGAGAAGAGAATAAGGAGGCGCTCGATAAGTCCCTCCAGGACATATCGGAGGAGTGCACATTGAACAGCGACGAGGCGAACCGTTCGGGCGGCGACGCCCCGCCCGGTCGCGACGCGTCCCTCGATCGCGACGAGGATCTCGACGGATCGAGGGAAAAACTGGAGGCCGGCGGCAAGGAAGGGTTCTTCGCGGCAAAGACGAACTACGACTTCGAGACGTGCAGCACGAACGCGAGCGAGCAAGGCTTCGAGAACGAAAGCGACATTTACTGTCCTAACTACCAAATGTCGGAAGTGAGCATACGCAGCCACGGATTGTACGCGCCGTCTCCGTCTTCCATGGGCCCGAACGAGATCAGTTTCAGCAACGAAGACGTGTCGACAGTCGAGAGCCAGTACGTTAATTACGATCCTGGGTGGCGCAAAACGATAAAGAACAACTCTAAGCTGGGCGCATACGTTCCGACGCCCGCCTTGAGTTGTCCCGAAGTGAATCGCGAAAGCCCGCTGTCCTTCTCCAGTGATCTAGACGAACTCTACACGCAAATAACGAGCAGGGAAAAGGAGAGGATACCTGAGAGTGACCCGCTCGACGTGACCGTTAACAGCGACGCGACTCTGCGGCCGGACAGCGACGCCACCGTCTGAGGTTCCTCCGACTGCGCCGACAGAGAACCCGTCTCCTGGATAACGTTAGAACGCACTGCCAGTAGCACTGCTGTTAGTTGTGAAGTAGCATTTTGTACGTCTTTTGGCCGATTGCGCCTCGTTGTACAGTTTAGTGCCATTTTAGCGACGTTTGTATAGTGTATAGAAGTAAGTTGTAATTTTATACTTGTATCTATTTATTTCTAAGTATTTAAACGTATTGTTAAGATCTATAAGACTAAATGTATATTAGTAACTCTTTACCCGTCGAGGCCGATGTAAATTTTGCTCGGAATGGATTTCTATCCGTCAAATAGGGAAGACCCCGATGTGCCAAATTACTGCGTCGTTTTCGCTTTTACCGTTATACGTGTAATATTGACCGACACTGCTGCCATCTAGTCTACTTTTATCAATTTATTATAGAACAGAAATTAAGAAGTGCTACCGTTGCATTCAACATGCCGTGATGTGTTAATTTTAATACCATTTCAGGACTTTAGCGGCTACATCATTCTTCGATCTCAATTTTTTTGTCTTTTTCTAAAATTTAAAAAATATTTTTCTATAATATAGACGTTAACGAAAAATGTTCGTGTCGATTCTATGTTACGCTTGATGCGACAAATGACTGATTACAAGTTAAGGGAATGTGCGGGAAACGGCGTCGTACGACCGTGTCGGTCTGAGGGCGAACAAAATTTGACAAACTATGATACGATACTATTTGTTTAAATGTTTTCCAGCCATCTCATTTTAAATTATGACGGCCGAAGAAGAAGGATGTTTGCTATGGTTACATAAATTTTGATGAGCGCACAAACAGAAACGATGACCATAAAATTGTAGTATTTTAAGGCGATGGATTTCGGAGCCGCTCCTTTTTACCAATTTGTAAATGTACATATATTAGGAATGTAGTATACGGAAGAATAGAAAATTTGTAAAATTGTTAGCTTTTTGTGGGCATATTGCATAATAAAAAGCGTTCGCACTCCAAACTGTGTGTATTTCTAAAATCCAATTGAGAACAAATTTATTTATTATAAATGCGACTCTCGTATTCTTATTTCGACATTAACATTACGCGTAATCTTGTCTTCGAGTTAAAGGTTAAAAGGACCGTGCGCAGGCGACTTCGAGAGACGAAGGAAAAATATACATTATCACCTTTCTCGGCCCGATAGCGGCGTATTGAACTGCACACGCGTGACACAATGGTCGATCGCAAATGGCCGATCTTAAATCTAGGTACACGCAAACTTACTTAATTAACACCCGACTCTGTTCCGTATAATTCGAGCAGCATTGAGACAATTGAGTATTTAATTCCCTTATCGGGGTACTAGGCTACATTACGCTTAACTTATTGGGTAGAAACGGCACATCAGGCGTTCGCCGGGAGAGCTAGACGGGCGGTGAGTTCTCTTCCCCGGTCGGCCACGGCACCCAACATTCGCGTGACGAGACCGCGCGGGATCTCTTCGACTTGCTTCTTTTTGCCTGTGTTTGGAAAAGAAGATTTGATTGTTATGCGACAATTATATCGTGTAACAATGTCAGTTATATATACCTACACACGCAGGCTCATACAATGACGAAGTTTTTTCAACGATAGAGGAGGGTAGATAAGCATGGGGTTTACTCCTTGGGAGGCGAAACATCTACACAAGATGCGCTGTCGACCTTTTGTGGCTTTGGATATTCGGAAATCCACAGACTGAACCGAAACGTGATTGAACGTCACGTTTTTCAAACTGACCCGGACGGAATTTCGATATTCCTATTTCCTACGATGTATTTAATGTCCAGTTGTTCCAGACGAAGTCCAACCTGTTTCAGAAAAATTAAAACATGTTGAATCCATTGGACATTAGTTATCGGGCCAGGTGGAACAGTTCAGTCACTCTTCCAAATGATAGGCGTTAAAAAACAAAAAAAAAAATTGCTTTTTATATTTAAAGGAACTCTTGACGTAAGATATTTAGCACCGAGCGTCCTCGATAAGCATGTGCTGTTTGTTATCGCTATAAAATTGTTTTAATAGTGTGCAAAAAGCATTACCGTAACGCATTGCATCATTTCTTATATTAAACACATAGCCGACCCAAATACGATACGAGGTACCTCTTATTTCCAATCTTTTTTTTTCTTTTTTTTTGCTTTAGCTCTAGCCTCAAAGAACTTAGGATCGATTGCCTGAATGTTCCAACGGGTCTTACCTATTATAAAATCTAGGACGAGAGGTGGTATATCCTTATCAGCCGGCTCCGGCTTCGCGACCAGCCTGAGCGCTGGACTAGCGCAGTACTGAGCACTGGCTACGAGCTGCGCGGCACTGTCTTTAGTCCCGATCAGCAAACCGCGCGCTTGCACTTTGTGCTCGGGGTGGACGCGATACCAGGCGGCTCCTTGAAAAGACAAGCTTTCGATTAGGCCGGGGAAGCCGTTTATGTCCTTTTCATCGATTCGAGAACAGGTTTCAGTAACATCTGTCGTGCACCTATCTACATCTCAATTATGAATGTCGGTTCTGTACCTCGTACGTAGTTGAGAGCTCCGCTCCAGTCCCTCGCGCGGGAACTCGCCCATTTCGTGTCGCCCCGAGTCTCGCTCTCCGCAAGCCATCGTTCCGGGAAGTGAGGCCACTAAAGGACAGTATTATAATAAAAGTGATTCCACGGCGATTCTCTTTGTAATCAGAGTAGACAGCAGTAGGTAACTGGACCATAGGTTCTTGCAAAATGACAAGATACGATCGCTATTCGGCACATACTCTACGAACCTGAATGAAATGCAGGGAGCCAAGGCAGAAAGGAGACGGTGGGTGTTGCCAGTAAAGATTGGGGTGCGGTGCTCCGGCCACTATGAACTTGCTCACCATCGATCCGTGGCAATGTCCTAAGTACCTATAGAGAAGTAAGTAGTTCAATATAAGAAATTTAGTTCACGGTCCAACGGCGCGACCAATATTGATCTAACACAATTTAATTCTGAATCACCGATCAAAGCAGGATTTAATAAAATGATAAGGTATCAGGAGTGAAGATGTGAGTTAATTATCCAATCGTCAAAACATTCTCGTCCGATAAAAATATTAAATTGTTATCTCTCACTGCAATACAAGGTGCTGATTAGTGTAATAGTTGTAAAGGTTATTCAACCGTAACTAATGTAATTGGTAACCCACAATCGGAATGAGTATGAGTTTGAGAAATAGAAGACCTTGCGTATGTATAAGATGAAAGCACAACATACCAAGTAAGTAGTCCCCCGATTCCAAACCCGATAACAATTGCAGGATGGCTCTCAGACACTCCCAGCGCTTTTAATAAAGCGGTCAACTCCTCTACAGCCTTAGGTGGAGTTAGATCTCGCCGGCTGCCGCCTTCGCTCCCCCCAGACCCGCGAAGATCGAGTGTGACAATGTGGTAGTCATTTTCAGCCATTCGTCGAACCGCCGAAGACCACGACGGCACCCACAAGTTAGCCGTATCTGGAGCATCTCCCAGGATCAAAATCAATTGTCCAGATTTTGTTCCGGTTTCTACGTAGTGATATTTCACTCCCTTAGACAAAATGATAATTAAACTACTAGCCATTAAAAATTGTAACTACCCTCAATAAATTCGTACGTACCATAATTTTTATGTAACAATGTCTACCTATGGACGAATCCACTCTAAGTTCTACAGGAGAAGCACTAGGGGATAGTTTTCTGCGCCGTCCTTTCCATAACCTTCTGATTGCAAGTTGAAGTAGCTGCCACAAGCCGAGATAAATGCACTCCAAACCCAAACGAATAGCGGGCCACCCCGTTACCGTTTGCAAAATTCCATTATCCTTCACACCCATTAGCGACGCAGTTAAACGACATACGAATAGTTTTGATCACTAACAAATACTGTGTTGCTAAAAGTTGAATGTTTTCTACTCGGTCTTATCAGTTTATCATTGTCCAAAGTCGAACTTTGAATTGACACCCCTGACAGCGGGGTATCTTTATTTACTTCTGTGCCCTGTTAATTGTCAAGTGTCAGCTATCGAAATATAAGTATTGTTAATTGTCAACGCTAAATAGCTCTTGTAACAAATTTTGAAAAATAATAAATAAACGCTAATAATTAGAAGGTCAGTCGAGAATAAGTGTTGGAGCTTATATATATATATATATTGATATTGGCTGGCAACATTTGATTTGGAAAGATGTTCGATTCTCTATTTGAAATTCAGAAGATGTTGGTTTTATGTTGGAAAACAAGAGACTTCTCTTCTCGACACGCCGGACGAAACACGTCAGCGTTTTTGTATGGAATCATGTATATTATACCAAATTATGTCGAAAGTGAAACAGTGCAAATAGAGGTGCAAGTATCGAGTGGGTGTTTTTAATATTTATATATCCCTCCCCCGCCTCCCCAAACCGAGTTTCCACGCGGAATGATAATAATCCAACAATAAGTATTTCTTTATGGAGCGGTATGATTAATATATAACTAATAATATGTCAAATGGGGCTTCAAATCGTCCATCCATCGATGGTAAAATATTAAGGTGCATAATATTGTCAGCCGGAATGTCATCACCCGACTCGAAAACAAATTAAGGTTGAGACAGCGCACTCAAGATGCCCGTAATGACAATCGCAGACAGCAAGTCACGGTGGCTAACGACGGCTCGAGAGAAGCCAGATAAATTCAGGGCCAGATTAACGCTCCAAAGGCCTGCCACCGTCTCGAGCTTAGCGACGGCGGGATTTACAAAGTTTCATTTATTTGACACAAATGGGCTAAAAGTCCTCGACGTTATTAGTTATTAAAATCTCGTTTGTATGCGTATCGTTTATTGTAGGCATGTGTAGGTATATGCTTAATGTATGGCTGCAATGAAGACATACATTTCAGTAGTAAACAGCACTAAGTAAAAGTTTTGCGGGAAAAGAAGGTCTTTTCTAAATGGAAAATAATTTGTATGAATATTGGATGTGTAATAGTTTAGCAAGTGCAAAATCGCCTCTATGATGACTCGGAGATTTATCTGTGTAGGTAAGTAATTGTAGGTACGTGATTATTTCGCACGATTGCTTTCTGCGATCCGGTTATATTGCAAACCATATTATGGATACCTTGAGATACCTACAAAAGGATTTTCCGTATGTTATGTGTTGGAAATGGTTCATTAGATCCAAAGTGGGCCGTTTCAACATTCTTAATTATTTAGGCAAAAGGAAATAAGAGAATCACATAATGTATTGTAAGTAGATAGGTTCAGTTCAGACGTGTCGATGCATATCGTCGCCGTCCCCAGCGGGGTCTCGACTCTCAGTTAACACATAAGTATCTACCGTCGATAGGTATCCAAAAGCTTGGGGCTGATTGTCATGGAAATGACACGGCGCGAAGCGAGGGCGACACGGAGAGGACGAAGGCGCACGCCCCGCGTCGTGACATGGTTTGTAATTAGAGAAAAGTACTTATTTATATTATGATATCAGGACTTTTTACATCCAAATTTTAATGTTACGCTCTATTTGTATCTACAAACATACCTTCTTATTTTCTTCTTACCCACCTATAGCTGTGCTATTTCATTTTCGCTTCTTAGAATTGCAAATATTACCTGAAGTGTCAGTGGGGTTCGATTGAACCTCCGAATATCTCCTTCGTCGCGTGAACCCCCCGCTCGTCTGTCGTCCTCTGAAAAGCTGTTGGATATTTTTTTAATTTTCGCGAGCATTAGCATGCGCCGCGGCGGCCGATAACAAAGTTACGTCCTCGGAACGTTACGTGTAGCGCACAATAGAGGGCACTCGTTATCTACTTGACTGTGTAACTTCGTTTGTGAACGCTCACGTACCCTCGATCCGGTGCGACTGAGGAGTTAAGGGGACTCTGTTAGAATAACACGACGGCGAGACTCGGATGAGCGTGGATGGTATTATGCGTTGTTTATAGAAAATCCAGAGCTAGGTAAATGAAGGTAAGTAGTGTTCGCTGTCAGTGTGCCTAAATGAGAAATTTCCCGCGTAGAGAGGACGACAGAGAATATTCCGTGTCCGGCCAACTCCTGTGTAACAACAACATTTTGATTTCGAGTTAGAGGGTGCGTCGCGCGTTCGCAACGGCTATTATGGCGCCCCTCTCGAAAGATTCATTTAAAATGTTATTTTACACCCAGCTATGTGCCTCCATCTTTTGTGTCGATTCCATTTGTGACGGTACATTGTAATAATGACATAGGTTTAGAAATTACACGGGATTCTGATCTTTGTGTGGATTAAAAAAATATTCGCCTGGATTTAAACAGTGAAGGTACCTCACTAATTATTTTACATTTTAACTATAAACTAAACATAACTTAAAATTAAATCGATTATTTTTACATTAAATTTACATGCATAATAGTGTTTATGTTATAGGTAAGGTGTAAAGGGTGAAAAACATTTAATCATAACATACTTACGCACCGCTTGCTAGATGGCGTTAAGCTGGCCAAATAATCATCATTCATTCATTTTTAGGTTCTCGGTAACCGTTCTAAGATAGAAATTACAATAAGCCACTGAAATCTATAACGGTATCGTTTAAGTTGAAGTGTCATATTCTCTTGTTTTGCATTAATGCACGTAGTCGCATCTAGACTATTTATACAATTACTCAGTGTTCACCATCACTATTTCTGTATATGAGCCTTTAGCTATATATATATTAATAATTAGACTAAACCACACCCTGATGTCATTTTACTCCTTGCGTTAATATGGCAAAAAGCGCCTTAGGACAATTAAGGTAGGTGCGGCCAATAAGGCCTGTCGGGTAATAAGGCCTAAGTACTAGAAACATAACTTTGAGTAGACCCAGTGACTTCACAGTCATAGGTAGTAAACTAAGATGGTCAACATTTGAGGATGGTTAAGTGTGGGGTATAATGTGGGGCGGACGCATATTAATAATAATATAGGTCAACAAATGTAAATATTTTATGAAAAAAATAAATTTTCTACGTTATTTTGAGTTTTACATCATTTTAGTTAATGTTTTAAACTTGTGTACAAAAAATTGTAAATTACACGAAATATTTTATTTTAAAAATTTCTTGACAACGTGGTCGGTGTTAATAAGGCCTATGAAAATCACCCTAGGCCTTATTACCCTCCTTAAAGTATTATAAGTGATTACATAATTTAGGTCTTTAGAATACTATTAAAAATTAGAAGACCATCCTTTTCAACGTTGTCATGTAGAAAATTTTCCACCTACTCCATTAAGGAAATGGTGAACCCTCAGTATAACGAGGCAAGAACAAACAAATATATAAAAAAGATCCTCCAAATTTTTACAGAATGGTTTAAGGTAATCCAGCTGATATGAGATAATGTACCTTGTAATAAAAAGAACATCATTTAAGAACTCCTCCTAACATAAAAATACAGAAAAACATCAACAGTCAGAATAAACCCATAATTAAGAGGAATACCATTACAAAAGTGTCTAATAAGAACAACGTTTCATGCCACAGGAAAAGACTGTATGAGGATGTTAAATAAAGGAGTGTGGTTTTAGAGATATTTTATTATATTTAGTGTCAATTTTCCTAATTTAAAAAATAATGTTATTTTTAAGCCTTTATGTGTGATTATGATTACAATATTTTATTGATCTCAAATATAAATATAAAATTTATTTGTTTATTTTTAATTTAAAGTCTTAGGTCTTATTATACTACATATTTAATAAGGCCTAATAAGTGTTTTTAAAAGCATAATTAAAACTATAATTATAGATAGGTTGCTGTTTTCTTTTTATTTATATTATTAATATAAAATTTAAATTAATTAAAATTTATTTTTTAAAATTATATTAATTTATAGTATGATTATTACCAATTGTGTAAGTAGGTATATACCTTATGAACAATAGTTTACCTAAACCGATGGGAAATAACGTTTGTTAACGAAGTATACATGTACATATATATACAGGTATACGTTTTGTTTGGATTTATAACTGACTATTTAACTGGACTGAACGTATGGAATGAGTCTATTTGTAAGAAAATTATACTTACTTCCTACTACGTGTATACTCATTCAATGTGACGGGCACCCGCCAGTCTTAAGTAAGTGGCTTCGTTACGAGACGACGCTCTCGGGCTCCTTCAACTGCCACCAATTATCTGGACGAGTGTAGTCGAGCGCTTCGCCTTTTTGTTGCGAGCGCCTCGCTTTTGCCGACAGAGGTAGTCCTCGCGAGTGCAAACGTCGAATGCATCCTTCATTAGCCACCGTTGCGACGTTTAATACTATTAATAAACAGTGATGCGACGGCGATAGCGCACGCCGAGTAGAGATCGTATCAAAACAAACGCGCAGTTCGAGTGGGCACTTCGCTCAATGCACGCAGATGCCACTGATACTGAATATAAAGAATATCTTTGGAGCGGGCTTCCATCTCGGGTCAAGTGTCTGCGGCCAGCTATTGTCTCCGGTCACGTCCGGCATTGTGGCGGAGACAATGCGAGGAAGCAGCGCGGATGCTGTGTTATTACAACTGGACCGTGCGTGACCGTTCGATATGAGCTGCTAATAATATGCGGCCGGCGATCGCTTCGCACCGGCAGTACCGCATAAAACGCTGTCTGCGATCGCCTGTTATATGCTAAGTCTCGTCTCACGCGACTCGATACTGAACTAGGCATTTTAGGAGACGCTCTTAGGGCGGAGTCACCGTTAGCCAATCCTGTAACCGATACCTTGCTTACTTCTAAATTTATTTCACTCCATTGTATCCTATAAAGCTACCAACATAAGGCGCAAATTCCTTTCCGCCCCTTTAGGTACTATTGTAAGCGATACCCCAGATCGGCGTTACGGAACGAGAGAGTTGCGACTCTATTTCTTTCAGTTAAATTTGTATTTTGCGTAGACGTTGCCAGTAATTGATTTCGTTCGAAAAAAGTACTTCGGAGTTAGGAATCAAAATTTGGTGGCGTTTTAAGTTCCGCCCGCTTAAATGACAGCCCCAGAACAAACGTGGACTTTACAGTGTTGTCGTCGTGCGTAATCCGCAAACTCTTAGTTCTAATTGAGGCGCTCATTCAGAACCTGAAATGTCCAGACTCGGTGCCGCACTATTTCTAATTTTCAGTCGACGGCATAATCGATTACGATCTCCCTACTCGCGGATTAAAAACGCTTCACCGTTTCGTAATTTCGGCAGACGGAAAAATAGATCGGGGAGGTCGCACCTGACGCCGGAAGTCATTAGTAAATAGACGGTCACAACGGACCGACAACGCCCCACCCCCGAAGTGAGTGCGGACGAACATTCATATTAAAAAAGGTCTGACACCCCGTGAACTTTATCTATTGTTACGATCTCTAAAAGATGTCTTTGGAGCGTTTTTTCTCGTCGTTCAATGGGCTCTCTGAGTAATTTACAGGAAAACGGTTCTACATTTACTGGAAGCTCGGTAAATTTGATTAATCTAGTGCGAGTAAATTTTTTTTTCATTTACATAAGTACTCATCGTCGGATGAGCGAATGAAAGAGTCACATTCTCGCCGGGCGCGACGAAGGACTTTCCCGACCCGATCTCGCTTATTAACTTACCAAAACCAACAATCGTGATTAAATCGCGCATGAACTAATAGAATATTCGCGGAGACCCGCCGTTCCGACCCGACGCGAGATGAGGCTACATGTTACCGAAATCGGCTACGACGTGCGATTTAAATGAACACGGCCGGCTAACGAACTCTTCTCGGGAGCGAATAAATTAAACGGGAGCGCGAAAATGACGCGTTTTAAGAAACGTCTCGTAGAACAGACAAAGGATTTGGTCTGAAGAACGGCCGAGGAAGGTCGCGAGATTATCGGCGAGCGCAGTTGTCGCCATGTAGCCGTCGTTCTCTAACAAGAGAGTAAACGACAAGAGGCGAGTAGGGGGGCCCAAATTTGATTACAATTAGCCGGTGCGGCGCATGAATAATTCATCCGGGCGCGCAAACATCGAAGGGTTGATTGTCAGATGACCAGTTAGCGCTGTTTGCTGGAATTACTCGCCACTAATTTGTGCTGTACGTCGCTAGATTACAGCCGGCCCAGTTTAGACGTGCTTAATTATAACTTACGCGCAAAATTAAACTCCGTTCCAACTGAATTTGTAAAATGTAAACTAACATTGATTTTTGGTAGTAATTCCGGTAATTACAACTAAAAACACACGAACATCCTCCCGTTAACCAATATTCACTTACTGCCACTGTTAAACTACTTCTAATTTTTATAACCTCAAAATGAAATAATATTTTAAAATAGTTGTCAGTGCCATACTTCAATGGCTATGCTCTATGGAAGGACAGTCTTGTAGAAGTATAGTGGATTTATATTGAAAGTTTGTGAAAACAATAATATTCAATTCAATTATATTCACAAAGAATTGAAAGACCGAAGACGTCATACTGCTTTTTGCTGTGAACAGATCGCAAATAAATAAGTACAAGGCTTTACAGTGAATTGAAACGAACCGTGTTTCGTAATACGTTCCTGTTTATGAACTCCGGAAAAACATTTCAAAATGACGAGTTATTGCAAAAGAGGGTGATGACAAGATTTGAAGGGAGAGTAAAAATGGATCACTTCTGATGCTTCCCAACTCACAGCCTGGACCGTTTCACTCGCTCACTTTATCCAAAGCTATAGGTTTAATTTCAACAAAAAGACCTTAAAATTAATACTGCTTTTACTGAACTGTAATCACAGTATCACTCGTGCGCTTATGACTCGGACGTCGTGGACCGTTGTTTCAGCCGACAAGAAACGAGATAACCTCCGACTGCCGGAGACTGCGCCGACGGAAGCGTACCGACTTACTATCTGTCACTTTTAGTTCTTAAAAACATATAATAAATGCGGTCTCGATCTATTTTGGCTTGGGATATTCTGAAAAGCGACTAAACATGATCTGTGAACTGTGATTCGTTTACGAACCACAGTAGGTACAATACCTATTTATTATATTTTCTAAACCCCACATCTAATAATTATTTTAGATTAATTATCTAAATCTCTCGAAAGCCAACTTTTCGCTCGTCGTACGGTCTCCGCCTATATCGAATTGTCTTAATGGCTCCTAAATAGGGTTACCGTTTCTATTTACAATGAAAACATTTCAAAAATATTTCGCGACAAGATGGCTAAATATTATTCTCCATTACAGTGAGACGCGCCTAAATAAACACTCCGATACACTTCCGTCTTTATCTGAAGTTTTTGCCGTTCGAGATATTGGGTTACCTACTGTTATTCTTATACGAGTTTTCAGTTTCGGGGTTCTCATGCGCCGGCGCCAACTTTTTGTATCGTTTTCCTATATTTAGAAAAATAGTAATGAGTGCGTAACTTATGGATCTAATACGTACGTTAGTAAGATGTGCGATAAAAATGCTACACATTGACCGTAGTCAGTCAGTAGACCATTGGAAAATTCAAAGTTTAAATCATTTATTCGCGTGGGCAAGTACATAACGTGGGTAACTCTCTTCTTCTCTTCTACACTTAAGAACGTCACACTAGTAAAGTAGAAACTGTGAACTTTACATTTACCTACTACTAGTTCTCAATCTGGGCGTAGAGCGAACGAGAAGAATCTGGCAAGAAACTCGCTGCCACTCCTTTTATCGCCAAATTATTTTTTACAATCGTCACGTAATAATATTTTTTATGACAGGTCCATCCAAACCCCCAGCATTTTAGTCATTTAAATATTGATTAATGTTGTAATTATCCTTTTCGAGCATTTTTTGTTTATTTATTTATACAGATAGCGAGCGAGTTGAATTCAGTCGGGGTCTGAGGTAGGTACAGACGCACCTGCAGTGTAGTACTGTACCATCCTTGTCGACTATCGTACGTTTGCCGTGTTATTGTGTTAATACTGAAGTTCTGGAATGATTATTAAAAATGTGTGATAATTATGATATTGTTTTTTTTTCACCATGTTAACCTAGGGTAAAAAATAAAATTAAACTTGCAACATTGTTTAAATTTATCGACATGCATTACTCACTGTGGTCAGCAATAATTATAACTAGGTCACAGCACTAGCGCATCCCTCAGCTCTGCATTCTTCGCGCGCTTTCTATACTTATTTACTGACAGCGCTTGCACTTCACTGGGGGTTTTATTAAAATGTCGTATGCGATAACCTTGAAATGATGACTACTTTTATGGAGCCTTCGGTCGGTACACTTTTTATATTCTAATTATTTCAACATTTTCCTAAATATATTGTTTCGCCCGCGTTGCAGTATTCATCGTTTTAAACTTATAGCAGACGGACCCCTCGCTGGATCGTTCCCCCCTCGATAATCGTGACATGTAAATAAAGTTTGCGTTTGCAAAAAAGTTTAATCTGAATTTAATTAAAAGGAAATGAAGTCATCTCCTATAATTACAAGGTGGGCGGTGATGAGCCAAGGTAATGGCCCGCTAATGAAAAGATGGACGCGATACAAGTTTGGACACCTGTCAAAGCGTTTTAGTGATTAACAAAAAGAGAAGGCTGCTACGTAATGCTCTTATCGCCAGGAACATGAACGCAGATGCTATGAGCTATCTATATTATCGGCACGAAATGTCGTAGAAGTAGGAAGGCCCATTCGGCTGCTGGAAATAATTTGCGTGATCTCGAGCACCTCAATTTACTTAATTAAACTTATTTATGGCACATATATGTATGCGCTAGTTCAATTTATTAAAAAGTTTTAATAATCTAATATTAAATAGATATTTATATTTTGACGAATTTGTTTTTATTGCCCTATTATTAGCCCTTCTATTTATTACCCAATGAATATGGACAACAATTACAGTAGACACGTTCAGAAAGCTTAATAGATGGTACGAAAAAGGACTCACCGAACCTTGATATTCCTGAACCCTGTGTAGCTGGCTGAGTAGTATGAAACTGGCGCGTGCTCCCAAGACCGCTATTTGGATAATTGAACGACGGACGCAGAATGTTTACTTGGACATACAATTTGACGACACAACAATTTGGGCGAGACTGGAACCGGCATGGGCAGCGATGACAGCTTATTTAATTTTAATATTAAAGATAAATTGTTATAAGAAACGAAGGCGCCTCCGGGCTCCGAGCTATATTGTTTTAAAATCGATCTGGTAACACGAGATCCTTCGTATTTACTCTATTTTAAAGACGCGTCAGCGCGAACGCGTCGCCGTCCTCGCACCAGGGCTGGCGATCGCCCTCATTCCGAATCACGATTCACATATTTAATCCCGCGTAATTCTTGAGTTCAGAGTCTAAACCTTCAGAATTCGAATAGGGACAACGGTGGGTTTGAAATGTTACTTTACAGCTATTTTATAACACAGTAATAGAACATAGATTATATACAATAGAATGACAATTGACAATAACTCGGAATAGACAATGTTATAGTCGGATAATTGTCACCGGGAGATACGCAGTTCAATAAAATGACAGCCCTACAGTGTAGAAATGCGACACGAAGTTTGAAGTAGTTGGAGTTGTTTAAAAACACGCGGACAAACAGACGAACATGACAGGCTGTTACTTCCCACGTTGCATTCCTGGAGACATATAATCATAGTCTGTTCGGTATAAAATAATTATTTTGTCGGGGTAGTCATGTTTTTTTGGGTAGTTGTGTTTTTTCGCGATGCGACGTCGGAATTAGGTCAGTGCGCGCTGTCATACGCTTTTTGGTGCCGCTCGTTCGATTCGGTTTTGCACATTACATTTTTAATTGAATTTCTAAGACCAATCCCCGCGTATTAGGGTAGCTATAAAGCTATAATAGTTATTGTTCTGTCGCGAGATGTCGCTAGTTAAGTGAGTTTTGTAAAATCAGTGTATGACATGGTGACCTGGTAGTGGTTTGTGGGCGCACTCTGTCCCAAACGGATCTCAGGACCCTCCTGGACCCAGCTGGGCGAGAGGTATGTACCTACTAGATAATATAACAGTTAGTCATAATACTTAGGTATATTGTTGAATGTTTGCCGTATTCCGTCTTTGCGACACAAAGCAACGTGCATGAGACGTGTATGCCTAATATTTTAATGTAGGTATTTGTACTTTTTTCCATCGTATTAGGTTTAACCTGTTAAGGTAGAACTTATTCAAGAGTAAAATAGAGACAGTAATCGGCTCAAGAGTTCAATAACATATGCTTTTTCTATAACAGTAACACGAATTAATCGGGCATCACGCGAGTAAAACCTCCTCGAATTAAGGTGCGAATGTCGTCATCGAAACGGCGAGAAGCGAGAAACGTCTCTTAGCTCGGCCGTAATAGAATACTAATGTCGGAGTGCATAACAAACGAGACTTTAATGAAGTGTCGATGTTAGGCCGCTCTCGCAAAACCTCGGATCCTCGATCGCGGAGACCGTTCGCCATTATCGGGCCGCGACAAAAACATAACACCTCAAAAAACAATCAAAGGCGCCGCGGCGCGGATCAGAAGCGCCGAGTTCGCGACAATTACTCCCCCGCAGCCGAGGAAACTCATTTTCCAAAGATTACAAGCCGAGAGCTTATTACACCGACGCAGAAACCGTTTACCGACGCGCCCCAGGAGCGCGGCCTTGTATCTACGCGAGTAAGGATCGAAATCGAGGCGTAGCCCCCGCAGCGCCCGTACGCATTAAATTGTAACACCTCGTAGAAGTACTCGATAAAGCCGTTGCGGCATTCGCGATCGCGGTCCTAAGACTATCCGATTAGAGTCGAAATTCGACCGCGGCCACTACACGAAGCGAGGTATAAAGGGAACGGTGAGGCGACATCGGCGCGGATCGCGCGTCAATCATTTCTCGATCGCGGGCTGACAAAGGAAAAATCCTTTTACGCGAACGCGAGGCGACTCGCGAACGATCAAAGCGGATCGCTGCCTGCGCCGACTCCCGTCGAGTTAATCTCTCTCGATAGAGTTGTTCTAGGCTTCCTTCGCGCACGTATCGCCAGCTTAAATGGGTCCATTGTCCTAGCCGCGGCTAATTGCCGGAGCGCGCCGGATACACCGAGTGTCACCGAACGCTCACTGAATGCAACCCCAAATGAGCATATAATACTCGCGGTGATTGCTCCACAAAATACCGCGGCATAAAAGGGCCATTGTCGAGAGGAAGCGGAGCAAGGAAGCGCGCCATTGTATTCAATCAAAGCGCACCGAATTGTATGCGTTTTGCAGAAGATGATCGATCGCTAGGTGAAGTGGTGGGCATATTTCGCGCTTCTTACAAGACTCGGATGCAATCGTTTCGACGAGGCATCATGTACCTATGTATTCGGCGACTGCACGGTTATCCGAAAGTCACAACATCATACATAAAACTTACGATAATGATAGAGGATAAAACTGCACGAGCCTAGGGCTCGTGCAGTTTTATCCTATTGTATACGACTTTTGTATAAAGGCCTAAGTAAACTAATTAAACTTCTGTATTTATAAAATGACGAAAATAGGGTCTTCTTTTCACCCCCTTTTTTTTCGACGAAAATTTAGGGCTTATAGCTTCCTACTATGAAATTATATCGGTAACATTAAGTAAAAAATCACTTCAAAATAGAGAAAAAGAGTAGTCGAGTCGGAGGTGTTCGCGCTACGACTTAGTTATGTGAGATTCCGAAGCGCCCAATTCTACTCTTATATTTCAGTGCAAATTGTGTCCGGTATAGACCTAAAGAGCTTTAATAGTTTTCGCGAGTTTTCCTCGTTCGTTTCTCTTTAATGAGCGCACTTAATCTAAATATTTTAAGACCGAGGTTAAGACCAAGTTAGCCATTATTTTCGAAACGTCTCCGTATCGATTTCGTCAGTACGTATCCAAATAGAAATTTTAAAATACACCTCGTAACGCTACCGTTTCGCATTTCCACCCCACGATCGCGCCCAGTCGATTCCGCTGCCCCCCGCCGGTGCCGGGTGTAATTGTCGAATTAGCGACGACATCAAAGGATTCGGTGATTTGCTTTCCGATAAATGCGATAATTTTCGCGCCTCATCGCTCGCGGGGGCTCTCGTTTCAGTACTACGTAAACGTCGCTCCTTTATCAGCGTCGGGCGCCGGGTAGCTGCGTTCAGTCCGGCCGCACACCGCCGGCGACGCCGGCCAATGGGCGGAGAGCCAAGATTGCATTCTTCCTGCGCCAGATGAGGATGTGGCCACACCCGCCAGGACACGTCTATCATTGTTAGTTAAAGGACCTCCAAACATTATGATTATGATTATATATTTTAAGAACAGTTATTATTAATACACAGATTAGGTTTTTTGGCTAAATGTATTTTGAATTGGCTTTTTCATTAAAGAGTTGTGCGAGAAATTGATATCTTTTTATTAATCCATGTAAAATTCCTTTAAACTGTGGATTACCTGTAACATTGATGTTCATAGTCTTGAAACACTTCTCATGGAAGTTCGCCGCGTCAGATAGTATAACATATACTGACGTCTAATTTTTACATAATACCTAACATAAATACAAACTTACGACCCAACTTGAGAAATTCTATTTCAGTAGACTAAAGATGCGTGATGTGGTGGTTCGGATCCCGCCTCAGCCATCGGTTTATTTCAACGTTTCTAATCTTTGTCGTTGTCCGTCGCTGATGAAATGATCTACTCCCCGATCAGTCAAAGCGGTGAAATATAAGAGAACGGAGTCGCGACCTGCCGTAATTACGTCCATCCGAATTAATGTTTATTTAAAGAGTATAAAAACGGTTCTCATCGTTCGTAGGCCTGTCCGTCCGTCCGTCTGTCCACCTCACAATTAGGCGATCCACCGACGATGACTAAATAAACGATCGAAAACGGAAGCCTCTAATACTGTTTTCTAAAAACATTTCGAATAGTGTAAGAGCCGAACGTTATTCCGGTCCGCGTTGACTAGTGGATAACCGAACAGACATCTAGAGCTAATTAATAAAAATAATAAACGGGCAATGTAAAAAGCTGGTTTCTCTCTGCTACACCGTGCGTATGTATTATATTTACCATAACTTTTTTAATTTTCTCAGCAAATCGTCATCGTCGTAGGCCGGCTCTCAGACTAGCCGTGTTTTGAGTAGTGACTAGTGACGTGAGCACAAAGAAGACGACGGAGCCGTGCTACCGACATTATTTTATTATAAAACACTTAATTCTCGAGCATTGTGCTCGCCCAACGGACGGCGTGAGTAGCGAGTTCCGTGACCGCTTACACGACGCTCGTTAACGACACCGGCCAGACTAGACTACGCACTGACAAAAATATCACCGAATCTTACTCTGCACCGGAGTCGGCTCAAACGCGAGTCAAAGAAATCATTCTTCTCTCCAAATAGAGAACCGTGCCAGAATAGAGACACGAAAAGAAGTGTCACAAATGACTATTCTCCCTCTCCGTCTAACTCGCACGCATCGCGTTCGCGTCCTCGTCTGGCCTTACACAAACTCTGATAAATAAATACAAAGGGCCTAATTGAGTAACTAGTAAAACGAGCATCTCCGCTGCGTCCCTTCGCGATCGACGCAACTCGTACGATACGCCCGAGTTACGCGAGCCGCGCAACATTGAGCCTTGTGGCGCGGGAATAAGAGCCTCGCGTCTCGCGGCGGTCGTCGCCGTTCGTGCCGTAGGGACAATTTCAGAGTCGTTCTCTCGAGTGGTAAGGGACGATGGGGAACTTAATTTGTCAACAATTTCAGATATTTGAATACGTTTCGCTGTTCAATGAGCTTCTGTCAACTTAAATTGTTTTTTCTTTCTTTTAAATAATTACGTTTGTTCCTTAGCTCGTTAGCGTCGTTAGTCGAAACGGAACTTCGATGAGACGAAATTTCATCATACACTAGGGCTCACACCGGGGACTTTGTCCGCTGTGGAACAATTAATAACTGTAACTTTTTGTTTATTTCGAATCTACATTCAGACCACACAGATACGATAATTTTGTGGGAAAACGCGTGACACGCGTGACAATAAGCAGGCCTAACTAAGTAGTAGTCACCGAAACACGGGGATATTCGTGATATATAAATAGACTTCGATCACTCATGTTAAAAAACTGATAACAATATCTGAATATTCACCGAGATATTTGTCACTCTCCCCACTGAACGTCGCGCCGAAGTGATTGGGCAAATATCGACTTGACTTCGCCGTCGAAGCGACGGTGCATACGCCGCTCGATCGCGTGGACCGCGGCATACGAGAGGCTAGCGAGATTCAGTTGACGAACGAAAGAAAAAATTAAAATATTCGACACCGAGATCTGTAAGAAACCGTCCGTCGCTTCGGCACCTCGCCTCTAAGCTCCGACGTCGTAATATTGCCTAGCCAGCGGCGAGTCCGTGCATCGACGTCGCTCTCTCTCGCATAAAGCGGTCGCCAGTCACGTCGAAGATGCGAGGGTTCCTCTGCGCATAATGAACTCTTTTGCAGAGCAACAGTGTGGACGGAACTTATACCCCTTGTTGACTGTTCGACTTGATTCGTTTCGCAAATCTTGCGTGATTGATAAAAATTTCACGTCACTTTGAAAGATTTCTTTGAAGGTACGCCGTTCGAATAAAAATTGAGTCGAAATCCGAACCAATTTCCCACGTGAACTAAATGAAACAAAATGTTAGTTGAAAGCGTTTAAAAATCAATTACCTTTTGCTGTTTTCTAAATAGGAATAAAACCTTATTGTTTAAAAGTTAAAACCCGTCGAGGGCTCCTCCGGTGGAGGGCACTCGATAGCGGCCGAGGGGTCGCTAATTGTTCGATCCGTAAAGTCATTTCACCACACATTTTGACTTTAAAGTCGAGATGTTGCGTTTTGTTTCGGATTTTGACTCGGCCACTCGAATCGTTCGCAAAGCATTTCTGTTTTAGCGTCGTCTGCGAGCTCGGAGTTTTCTTTTCTGTCCCGAGGACTTCGATTTACACTTCGTAAGTGCCTCGCGAACATACAAAGAGCTAGCCGGGTTTGAACAGTTTACTAGCAGGCTTCGGATCGTGAGAAAGTAAGACCTCGCGCTAGACGATAACGAGAACGTGTGACCTATCCCTCATCTCCCGAAACATAATAAAGGCCGGCGCCGACTGCGCTCTGACGTTTGTCCAGATTTTCACGTGACATAAGACTCTCTACGACTCTCGACCCGTTTTTACTAATGAACCCCGTCCTCGTTGTTCATTTATATATTTTAAGAGTTCGTTAGTTTCCCCCGCGACCGAGTTGAAAAAATTGGCAGCTCGTTCTGGAATGATTCGGATATTTAATTAAACCTTCTTCACTCGGTGGGAACG